CGGACGTCGTGTGCGACTCGCACTACAGTTTTGTGGCGCCGTCCAGTGGTGGAGAGGTACGGTGCTCTTTGTTATGTTATACCTTGTACGCTGTGCCTCAGAAATCCAGTGTTTTTTGGACAAGACCTTGGCAAAAACGAAGAAAAAAAACAAAAACATGTAACAGACTTAATTAAATACGGATAAAGTATGGAGTCGCTTTGAATTCAGGGATTAAATAAGGTGATGCAAAAGTTTAACAGAAATTAAACAAATATTTAATGTTATCATAAGTGGCACTTTAACCGTCCCTACTTCATTCAGCCATCATGCCGGCCACCGTCCATGGCACTTTACATTGGTCTGCTATTAAAGCAGAAGAAAATCAGCTGATGGTCATGCAAAGAGCGATGGCTCGAAGAATGTGCAAGATCTTCCTGTGGGATGATGTTACGAGAGCACAGCGATCGACGATCGAACCTGCATTAATAGAGCTGATTTCTGCCTCCTGCAAGGGCAAGAGAAGATGGTCAAGAATTAGAAACTGGGTCCAGTTACACCACAGACATTTGCTTGGTTGTCAAAGACCGCGCGGGGACGATGTGATGGTGAAGCTACTTGGTCAGCGGTAGAAACAGAAAGCACAAAACAGAGAATATTAGAGTAGAGTAGCCTTGCGTTTACGGCTCCTCTATAGCGCTGGCAATTTTTAAATCAGTTGCACTTGGCAAGTTTTCTTAATTCCATAGTTGCAGCCACGCAGATAAATTGATGGATTTTTAAACGGTTCACGTACTGTTATTGATATAGTTTGAAAATCGACCGTCAACGTCACAACAAGACCGCCAGAAGGTTTGTGGTTTAAATTCTATCATCAGTTTAAAGTTGCAACAGAGCATTGGAAACCTTAAATATTTGACGGACAAGCTCGTTGGAGTCTTGCTATAAGTTCTGATTCCGCGGAAGAATTAAAATATATTAAAGTTATATTAAGCAGTGCTTGAAAAATGACTGAGGAAGGAGGTGGATATATCCGGTAACCAATTTAGCTTTATGCCCACCTGCTCAAGCACGTTGGCCATCATTACCTTAAGTCCAGTCCTCGAAACATACGGAGAATGCAGCAAGGGCATTCGGTCAGTTAGTGGAATTTACTCAGATGTACCCGAAGGCACACGATTCGTGGCCGAAACCTTGGATATAACAATAAAGCCATCAGCGAAAGTGGATCCTTACCATGCCGACCGAAGTCTGATGCAAAATGACAGTTACTGTTTCTTAGGACCGAGCAGATATCGGCAGCGAACGGAACAATTAAGCTTTGGCAAGCTTCAGTCCAGCACCTGCTTGGAATGTATATGGATCGTTTGCTGGACCGCTTCGAAGGCACTGCTTGGTAGTGGTTCCGCGGGTGAATTGGGTCGTTCAAAATGCAACTGACCAAAGCAGCTGTTGGCCATCGGCCAAGTAGTTGCTAAAGGTCCCGGATGGTTTACTCCGGGGACTGCAGAATTAGACCGGTGCAGGGTTTGGAGAAGTCTTCCAGTACTTTTGAACCAATGCACAACCTCCTCAGTTGCATAGCACCGAAACCGATCGCCGCTTATTTCTGATCTTTACGTTCATCTGTTGTTCTCAGCCAAACTAAAGCACAGGTATTTTAGGACGGAGTCAATTTCGAACAAATTGTTGCGGAACTGTACAGTTGACAGACAAGTTCCATGTATGCTCTGCTTATAAACGACTTGCCCGATGGAAAGTACAGTCTAGAGATTTCTTTGGTTTAAGTGTTAGGTCACTGTCGTTCATGCAGTTCCACATCTCTCGAAGAAATGCGCTAGCTTATATTTGCATTTATCCTAAAGCCAGCCAACAAGAGACTGTCGTCGGCATACGGATGGTGATATCGCCACATGTATAACAGGACAGTGCAGGTAACAATTAGGATCCTTGTGCAACTATTCGCATCCTCAGGCGAACCATAGATATCCTCTTGCTGACCTGCGGAAAGTTTCAGAATCTGTAGTAAGTACTTGACCACCAGACTGATAGTGAAAGAATTCAAAATCATGTTGGCGAAGAGTCTGAGCAGCTGAAATCTCAGGAGCATGTCGTAGGCTGAGCTGCAGACCAGAAAGACACCCGTTACTAGTGCTTGCCAGTTGTCGAGCTTGCTGGCAATGCTGTTCACAACTACACTCAGCGCATCCAGAGAGCTGCGTCCATACGCACATCCGAATCGCCAACAGTCAACGTGTTCCAATATCTTTGATTACATCCACCAAGGGACGATCCTTTCCAAGCGTTTAGACGCAATTGGAGCTACTGCAATGGGTCTCCAGCCAGCTGCTGTCGGCTGCCTGAGAGGTTTCGTGATAGAGGACATTCGCACCGTCTGCCACGAATCCGGCACGGCACCCTCTGCTAGGCGGCGGTTGTACAGTCCAGCAAAGACTTCAGAAAGTGAGTCGGCGCAAGACCTCAGTGCCACGACGTCTAAGCTGTCGTCGAAGCCTTGAGTTTCTTGAACTGCCTGCGACGTACCTATCAGTCCAAATGGTATGCGGCGACATGCGGATTTCGCAGTTCACGCCGATTGCGGATTGTTATCGATAAGTTGTTAAGCGGATCGCACCGAATGCTTCCCCGTTTTTGAGCCGTAGAAAACAGTTGTTCGCAGTCTCAGTATCTGCATCCTGGGCTGTGTGTCTCGACTTCCGATTGTACAATCTGTGAATCGCGGACCATTTGTCCTTCACATTTTCACAGACCGTTATAGCAGCGAAGTGTTGGTGATCAACGTGAGCAACTTAAAAGTCAGTTGCCTCCGCAGGCTTTTGAACTTTGCTTTGTTTCCGGCCATGTACTTCTGTTTAACACCGTGTGATCGGCAGCCAAAGTTCATGTTGTAAATTTCCAGGCGGGGCAACAGGTACTTTAGGTGTAATACCAATTTTTGAAAAGCTTCAAAAGCAGTCTCCAGTTGGTCCCGCAATCTGAAACGAACGTCTTACGAGTACGTTGGAGATGTAGCTATAGCGTTGATGTTGCCAAGAAAGAAACTGTGGGACGATCTCCTAATGAGCGATATGAAACTGCAAAATTTGACCAGAACTTTGACCAAAGACCGTAAAGTATGAAGGCAGTTTACTCGGACAACGGACCTCTGTTAAAGTTAACACGTTAGGTAAAGGAAAAAGAAAGAAAAAACACGTTAGGTAAAGGAAAAAGAAAGAAAACTTATCGAACATATTGCACACATGATTCGAATTGCGCCTACTTTTCCTTGAAATCCACTGTAGTTCTATATTTTGATGTCTGATTCCGTCAGTAGATACTATCGGAACATGTTTACAACCTGTGCCCTTTGACCGGGGTGTTTCCTAGCCACCATACGCGTACGACGTGGTTTACACGTCTCGGTTTACCAGGTTAATCATGCCTGACAGCTACATTATGGACACACGCCTGACGAGTGTCAGAATGGAGGCGAGAACGATCATCGGTAAGCGAGCACATGTGCCGTGCAGATGTGTTACGCGTTGTCGAACTATGAATTAGGACTCACGTCGTGATGAATAGGTTTACAATTAGGTCTGAAGATCATGCAGCGTGGAGTTGTTCGAAGAGTTTTGATGAGTGAAGTACCGAATAATGAGTCTGAAACATATACGAGTCAAGATCTTTAAGCTTTGAAGATGGTAAGGATTTTCAGACACAAAA